TCTCTCTCTCTCTCTCTCTCTCTCTCTCTCTCTCTCTCTCTCTCTCTCTCTCTCTTTGTGTGTGTGAGCAATCGGCATCGCCGCGGCATCACTGAAACACAAAGTCATACATTTATGCATCGGGTCTCGCTCTCCGTAGCGAATCCATGTGCTATCCGTATGCATTTCGGGACTGTCAAAGGAAAAGAGAAACAAAGCCAGACAAACGTGTTGGTACGCTAAGGCAAACGAGACGGAACCAGAAACAGAGATATGCAGCGAGAAAGAGATAGAGCGCGCTCAAGCTTAGTGAATATACACACAGCAAGCAACGCAAAACAGCATGCTGCTGGTGTGTTGGTGTGTGAATACCTGAGCATCGAACAGAACAACTGATTCGACTTGCTGTACGATTTCCATTGAGAATGTGTTCTCCTTATGTTATATAGAAATGTATGTGTACGCGCTCGGTATGGGTTCATGCGTACCACACCAGCAGAAAAACAACAACCAAGCAGATTTACTCGACACGGCAAATGGCAATAGAATACAGCGCACGCGGCAACAGCAACACACTGTGAGAGAGATACGAATCGAAAATCATTTCTTTGATTCAGTCAGAGTTATACATTTCGGTTGGATGGGACGAGAGATGCAGTCGATTCAGTTGGTCTACGAAACGGATCCGTGAAAGACAGTACGCAATTTGCTAAACTGATTTTTTTATTCATAATAATGTGTGTGTGTAAATATATATATATACTGTGGAATTGAAAACATTGAAAACCACAAACAAACTTTCGGGAAATTAAAGAAAAAAAAACACAACAAACGCTGAGATTTTTTTTCGTTTCTGTTCGACGTCTTTGTCTCTGTCTTCATTCGGCTCTAATAAAAAAAATACTCAAAGAAAATACAAATTCATTGAAATTTGTTTACATTTGAGTTCTTGTGCAAGTGAATGGTGTTTGGTGTGTTTGCTGTTGAATTCAATCGAGCACAAAAGAAATGCAAAACAAACTTGCCAAATTTATTTGATGTATGTGTCGTGTGATCAAGGCAAACCCAAATAAAAGAATGAAGAAAGTCAACAAAGTGTGAAGTATATGTGAAAGATGAACAATTTTCCAATAATATCAATGCAAAGCGAATGGATACGCAAAAAATCCACGGGGAAATAACAACGATGATTCGATTTGAATGCGAAATATTTAGAGAATCATCGATTTGAAAAATCCTAGTGACAAAAATACCGTCGCAACATTGTTCAACGAAAAAAAGAATGAAAAAATCAAATCAACATCACAGGCAACATATCTTCAGCATCAATCACAACAACATCCGAATCAGCAACAGCAGCAACAACCAATAACAATATGCACAACCAACATGTGTAGAAATGAATGGGTGTTGATGCGTGTTTGAACGGACGCGTTTGGTGACGACTAGCAATGTGTTGAAATCGTGTTGTCGTAATTCTGTAGCTTGCATAAAAAGTGTTATTTAAGTAACGGGGTGTGCAATTAAAGACACATATATCATTTCTACCTGCTGAAAAAAAGTACACAATTCAATCATTCAATCATTCCATATTCGGTGTTTCGTACTCAGTTCTGTCGATTGTCAGTTTTGCTGATTGTCCAAGTGAGGCCAAAATTTTGTGCACATTTGGAGTGGAAGAGTGTCCCATCGATGAATGTTTGATAGATTTTTTTTTCACCATACCTCTCCATCTCTCTGTGTCTTCCCATCTCGGTGCAACCGGTAATGTTGAACCATTTAATTGACGACACAACGACAAAAAGCAATCAAAAATCATATAATAATAATATATTGTTTGGCGCGCATTCCATGACATGTAATTGTGTTATGTTGTTGTTGCATTAAGAGTGTTCAAATGAGCTACTTCTTATCAGTTAAACGGAAAAGGTGAATGTTCAGCAGAATTCATATTAAAAGTTATAAACTCAGGAACAACAACAAACAAGTGATCGTTTTGCTCCAGGTCAATGCATACCTATTCTCGATTGAAATATGTCAACAACATTGCAGTGTGTGCACGGACAAAATGATTAAATTCATGTAATTATGATTCTGGTATTTGGTTAGAAGAATTTTGTATGTTTTCGTTAGCAGTAAAATAAATTTACAACGATTTTCCTCTTCTGTCCATTCATTTCTCTAGTTTCGTGTTCGGATATGAAGTTTTATCAATGTTGGAGAGAAACTTAGACAATGATTCAGGTCGATAAAGTACAACAATAGCCGAAAGCAAAGGAGTTGCCTAATTCAATGCACTAGTGGAACATATAAGCGATTCAAGCGCTGACGTATTGTACAAACGACGAACGAAAAGTGAAATAAGACACAGATTTGGAACGAGGAAGCGAACCGACTATGGCTGGAAACATTGTCAAATGGTGGAAACACAAAATATTGGGCGGATATAAACAGTTTTCAGGTAAGAAAACCGTGACCATAACTCTTCGTATGATCCTCTTTTGAATTAGCTCGGTGCAAACGTACAGTACGGCGTGCATAAGTTCAAAATATGTTGTTTAAAAATAATTCTACCTTTTGCACTATTCTATTGTACATTTTACATGTCACGTAGTTTTGGCATTTGTACAGAAGTTTCGATTCAATTTAATGGCATTTTAGCCTAAGAATATTGTCCCAAATGCCATTAGAAATTGTTTACAATTTTCATTTTACTGCACACCGTTTTTGTTTCAAAACAACTTTTTACAAAAAGCAGCGTTCATCATCTCGACTGTGTGAAACCAAAAATGTTGTCAAAATGTCTCCGTTTCGGTGCATAGCTGAGTCCAGAATTCACATTTCAATAATAGAAAAAAAACACACACACATATCTACTCAAAAGTTTCGAAATCATGTAAATTTTTCTTTTTTTCAAAATTAACCACTAAATATATAATGGCATTCATGACGAAAACAGAGGCTGTGATTGTTGCTTTCCTTTTTCATCAATTATTTTCATCTGATCTGTTACGAAATATACAAATCAGCCGCACAAAAGTGATCCCTTTAAAATAATTGCGCTTGAATGTCCAACGGAACGTAATAGCGAAGAAGGAAATGAAAAGCAGTTGAAGAATCAAAGAAAAGACTAAATCAAACGGCAACACATTAACGATGGATGAGATCAAAAATGCATCCGTTTCAAAAGAATTTATGTTGTAACATTAAAAAAAGAAAAGAAAGAGAGAGAGAACGAAAAGAAAAGAACGAATGAACGAATGAACGAACGAACTTCTACTGATTTATACCGATTTGTTGCCGTTTGATCAGAGAAAGAGAAAAAGATACCCAAAATCATTTCAAAAAGCCCGTTTTTTTATTCGTTTTGTCTTCTTCTTTTTGCTGCATGTACGTTTTTTTCTGTGTTGTATTTTTATTCCATTCGGCTTTTGGCTTTTACTCCTTTTCTTTGCGCCATGTTTTTCCCCTCTCTTTCTCTCTTTGCCTGAACCCACTGGCACTGTAATGTTTGTGTGTGTGTGTGTGTTTTTCTTCTTCTTAGAAATCCACCGACATCGCATTATACGGAACATTATGTTCACATGATCTTGTGCTATGTGTATGTGAAGAGCACATGGATTTCACAAAGAAAAGCAGAAGACTTGAAGCGCGTGTATCGAAATGCATATTCTTTATCTTCATTTTTTTATATTCTTTTTTCGAGTGTTTTAAAGTTTTTCCGCCTATCCTTTGCAAGGGCCAGCATACACACGGCATAAACATGTAATCAAAGAACATAAACCTTTCAATACATTTCGACATGGAACGGAATCATTTTGTCCAAACAGTATACTAAGACTAGAGAGAAAAGTAAAAGAATCAAAAGAAGAAAAAAAATAAATTATGATTCGTCGCTGTGATTGAAGAATCAACCGGAGTCAACAACAGAACAGTGTGGTGAAACGCAGAGGTGAAATGAATAGTGAAAGCAGCAAACTGTTCTTTTGTTACAGTTGAAATTGTCAAGACAGCTAATTCCAAGTGCATCGACAAGCGAAAACTGAATGTCTTACGTTGAATAGCAATTTTTTTCATTATGGTTGTATAGACCATTGTTTGGAATCCTCAGTACACATTCTGATGCATTCCATTCACATGTATTACAGTTAACAAAGGTACTGTCAGCACTCATAAACGTTTTTTTTTGTCTGCACCGGCTTACTGTATTGCACAGTGCACATATGAAAATTGTTCATTTTGCAATTTATTCCTTTTCATTAAATCGCTTCAACCAGTGGAATTGTTTGTGTCACCAAAAAAAAATCCTGTGGCAAAAATGTTCATCCTTTCGGAGAATCTCCGATTTTACAGTTGTTCTAGCACTTAATTTATGTCGTACGATATACAACAACATACTAGATGCATGTAAATGAAAGCAATAAAAAATATCTCACATACATGCCAATGTACGTTCCATGAATGGTTTCGAATTGAATATTACATTCTGAGAGCTACCTACAGCCTGCGGAAAAACAAAAAACATCTACATATTGGCGGTTAATAACCATTAAGTATGCTGTCCAACAGAGTTCGATGCGTTGAGATATTGCGTTTGTCAGCGGCGCACAAATCGGATCAAGGCTAGATCTGAAGGCACTGGGACCTCCAATGAAGTTTCATGCCATTTTTTTTTCTATCACTCTCTCTCTTTCTTGAATTTTTGGACATTGGCCAACCTCGACGATATTGCGATAGTTTAAGCTAGGAATTTCATATGCATCACCGATAACATGCACAGCCGACAAAAAGATTTTTGGTTCAAGAAAATCTATCCAATGAACGAATACAAAAAAATAAACATACAAAGTCTACGAACAATTAAAATACTTAGAATTGCTTTGATTCTTTTTGAACGCATTGCCGAAGATATGGCACAACAAACGTACAACAAAAAATGAAGTAGTCTGTCAAATGCTAGGCATAATAATGATTACGTTGCAGAATAATGGAACAATGGGTGACATTTTCAGAGAATAGTTAAAGATTATAATCACTCAATTGCGTATGTTTTTCTCCTTTTTCCGTTCCTTTTTGTCGCTCGTATGTTGGTTTCATTTCGTTGCCCTACACACGAGGCGACAAATAAGGAAGAAGGTACTGAAACAAAAGAACATATTGCCCCGAGACCGATGTTATGCTGCTGTGTTACAATCACACAATCGGCATGTAGTTGCGATGTAATCTAGGTGTTTTAAGGCATTTTTCTTTGTCTGCCTTCCGCTCTCTTTCTCTCTCTCTCTCGCTCGTCCTCTGCCATCGTTAATGTGTTTGTCCTTCCGGAATCGCTTAAGTAACAGAAATTATTTCTCTGATTATTAAATCATGCTCGAGGAACTTGAATTTTGATGTTGTATGATGCAACACAAACTGCACATTGTTGGTGGAATGACAAGAAATTATGGATTGCACTTGTAGTCACTTGAAAGTCATAATTATGTTAATGGTCCTGGACTCATACATTTTCATTTTTGCCTTCCTGTGGACGGATTCAGAGCGCTGCGTAGTGAGACAAGCCCACTAATGCTCATTCAAACTACGACTAACTTTGAAGCGTTCGTTCGTTCGTTTAGTTTATATTGCTCAAGAGTAATTGAGAGTAAGAGTGCGATTTCTCCCTCCATTCTCACCATTAAATCGCGCTTCTTTCCCTCCACTGAATCCAACTTGTTGACATAATCGCTACTCAAGACGATGGAAGAAAGAAAAATCCATCCGTATTTTCTTCTGCACAGGAAGTAATTCTATGTATGAAAAAGATTGGAGCTAATTTCTGCCCCATTATTTGCACTATGGGTTATGACATGTAACAATACCTGCCAGTGTTTATTTTTTCATAGAAAAAATATTTGGTTTACATTTCCTCTTGATGAAAAGGATCTGTCTCGTGGAACAAATTATAAACCAGCAGCTACAATAAATTCTAAAGAACCCTGAACACCATAAGAATAGATCAAAGTTAAAAATATATCTTTTTTCACAATACCCTAACGATGAACCGAATGAATGAGAATTTCGATCTAGTCGTTACTTTGTGGAACTAACAGTCACACTGATAAAAAACGAACTACATAGTTACATCAATACTTCAAAGATAATTGCACTATTCACATGTGATTCGTTCGAATCAAATGTATGCAACGTCATGAATATATGTTGTATCAAAGGGTGGTTCATTTTCGGACGATCATGAACCATTTGGGTACAAACCACATATTCAACGATAGAATGAATGAAGTGCTGCAAGTGTGTGGAATAAAAATTAACCCTTCGTTTCCATTTTTCAAACATTCAGCCAATTAATAAATGCGAATGAAAGAAAAGCCAACATAAAAGTGAATAGCAAACGCACAAAGGAGCGATTTGTAAGGCCTTTGCATTTGCCATGATTATGACGATCTTTCTCCATTGAATGCCAAGTGTTTGCGCATTATATGATTTGTGCCGTATCAAAAAAAAACGTTGGCTTGAGTACCAGTCGGCAAAGAAGAAACGCAGATTTAAACATAATATTCCTATGACGAGGCATTTGTTTCCAAGAGGTACAGACGCGAACGGAGAAACCCGTCTGTAAACTTCTGGTTAACAAATTCAAGTAGTAGAAAATCTTGGACCCTCACGCATAAATACTAAAATGATCATTGTTTTTAGACAAAATGAGTTGACACAGAACCCATGAGCTTAAACTCAATTCAAATGTGCGAATCACAAATCGAATCCATTTCTATAACTTGCCGCAAAAAAAATTTCCGCTTGGGGCGCATGTATGTGCAACAAGAAAGGAATAACTATCTACCTCTTCGACATACGTTTCAATTAGAATTTAAAAGCCCTTTCACGAAGTACACGCATTTTCTAAAGACTTCATTTACTCAGCCAAAGTGTTTCTTTGAAAATGACTTTGTGCCTTTATGCACTGCCATGTACTTCAATGAAAGCAAAACAAATATGCTATTAATAATCTTTGACTATGCGGTAAATTTGTAGCATGACACTTTGGGCACTTGGGTACACACAGCAAACAAGAGATTTGTCAAGTGGATCCGATGCGTTTTGGCTGGGGTATAATTTGTACACAATTATCCCCCCGGTTTTATAATTTTCATCGTTTGTATTTTTTTTCCAGAATCATTCCATCTGACGAATTGTTATTTGTTTTTTATTTCTTCGTTTTTTTCTTATTCAATTCGGAACCGACTGGATGATCGGTGGCGATGATACGATGATTTTAGAGAGATTACGACTGATGTATTTACCTTTTATGTATGTTTCTGCCGATAGTGTTTCATGTTGATCGTTTTTATATGTATGTGGCCCGCAGTTCGTTTGGCGTGCTTTTTTTATTCTCTTTCATTTTTTTTTATTTGACGTCTTTTTCTCTGTACATTGGTAACACGTCCTCTCTCACTCTTTTGCAGTGCT